AGTAGTAGCAGCAGCAGTAGTAGTTAGTAGTTATTGTCGTCGTTCGCATTAGATAGTCCTAGCAAGGGCGGTGCCATCCTTGCTCTGTTTCGGAAAGGTTTGCTGCTCAAATCTCCTAAGTACTTGTGGGTGTATTTCGCTTTCACCGGACAACGTGTGCAGCATCTGCTGTCACAACGCGTCACATTAGAGCAACGGCGGTTTCAATCTGGCGCCTTCTATTTCTGCATGGTAGCTCAAATCGCTTGCGCGACTCTCCCTCTCCTTGCCCCAGCGGATTCCGAACTGGACTGCCGCCAAATGTCCATACTAGCCAAGTTTGCTCCGAAAGAAGCATTGACAGATTCGATGCACTCGGAGGCGTTGTTGGCGATAGAGGTGTTCTCACACCAATTAATGAAGAAGCTGTCGCCCTTGTCGTAGACTTCCTTGAACTGTGCGTAGTTGAACGTAACCTTCAGCAAGCCGGCAAGCAAGCTTTCTAGCAGCACAGCATAGGTCCTTGAGGCGGAACCAAACAAAACTGCAGTGCCACGCCCGAGCAACATTCTGGTACTCTGCTAGGGGTATGCTTGCCTCAGCTCGGGAGTCAAACTCTTCCATGCAGGACAGCGTGGAAAGGAAGTCTTGAGGGAAAACCCTCGTGGTTTCCCGTGACAACGGTGCCCAGCCAATCTAAGATAATGCATCACCTCAACGGAAAATGGCTCAGATTGCAGCCAGGCTTCTGCAAGAAGAGCCGTAACCTGAGCTGCATACGTTGTCATTCGCTTCATTCTGTCCAATGCCTCTGAAAACGAGGGTTGTCAATCATTCGGAACGACCATGAGCACGGTCTATGCTCAACACGAGCTGTATATAATAGGAGGCTTTTCTGCTCGCAAAGAAGGGGCCAAAACCGGTCCCTCACGGGCATGCAAAGGAGGACATCTGAAGATGCCTCCTACATCCCTTCATAATACTATGTATACAGACTTTAAAGTTCGCCTCTTCGTGCTACAAGGGGCCCATGCTCCCAATGACAAGGTGCAGACCGGACCTTGTCCCGGGGCGTGCGGAATGCGAAAGGTGCAGAGGCCGCCTCTTTCAGGATGTTGGAGCGCGGTACGCTGGAGAGGAGTCCTTGCTTGGACTCGGACTTCGTGGCTCCTCTAGCTTTATTTGGCAGAAGCCCCCGAAAGTAACTCTTGATCCGGCAAGCGAAACCCGTTCCACAAAAGCCAGGGATCTTCCACGCAAGGCGTGGGCGGGGGACATCTCGTCGAAGTAGCCTGGGCCAGCCGCAAGCATCGCAAGAGACTGAGGTGTGAAGATCCAGATGACTTCAATCGCAGCACTGGGAAATTTCCAAAAGTGATCATCTGCACTGTACGTGTTCTTATGAGTATACCAGGCTTCAGATTCCATGTTCAACCTGCATCAAGCCTGTCTCGCCATCTTCGGAACTCCAAAGGCCGAAATTCACACGAGTGCTGAGAGTTCAGCTTGCGTAGCGTAGCAGGATACAAAGTGGAGATTCCAGTGGAGATTGCGAAACAACACGAAAGACTATGGCACTAATGGCAATGAAGTTAAGAACCAGCGTGCTGACGACGGCGAGAAGGACGATACTAGGGCTTGTGTAGGACTGGCAGCAGTAGCGATCACGTGAACAGCAGCACGCAAAGTGCGCAAACGGCTGAAACAGCAAGGAGGAGTACGAAGAAACTTCCCGAGCCCAAAGACGGCTTTGGAAGTCCTCGGGCACCCTTGTCTTCGTCCACCTGCCGAGGTCTTGGCTCCCGGGTGAGGACTGTAGGGATTTGGTAGTCCATTATAGTATACCATAATCTGTTATAATATAGCCTGGACTATGCTAGTATTGTAGTATAGGGTTCTCAAGAATGAGAACTTGAGCATGCATCGTGCAGCACAATAGGCACTCATGTAGAATCGCACTGGCTTCTCATGCTTTGCTGCAGCCTACATGAACTGGCTCCGTGGCCCGCCACATGCTATTTCTGCTGGAAGTACAACTGGATTGATGCCTCCAAGACGGTTTCTTTTGCCGCATGAAGCCTGCAGGGAGCTCGTTGAAAACGTCGTGCTGCGTGGAATCACAGCAAATGCCCACAAGGTTTCATGCGAGCCTTCCTTCGCGCCCCGCGAAACTTTGTGCGCAATGTGAACCTTGGCTTCATCACTCCTGGGGTCATGGCTCACTCCGTGCCCAAACGGCTGAGGTGAGGGCACTTTTCAGGCGTAGGCCAGCAACGTCAACCTCCGGAAGGAGGCCATGCTCGTAGAGGTCGAAGAGTGAAGCAGCTTCGAACCTTTGCGTCCTGGACCCCATCCCCATCCCAAACTGCAAGAAAGTGTGACCACCATAACTGAGGTCCAAACCCGGCGACGACATGAGGCAGCAAAGCGAAGAAAGCAAGAACCTGAGATTGCACCCTCACCGCTGGCGCAAGTAATGCAATTGAGATGCTCAGCTGTCATTTGTATCCCGCAGAACCGGCAAAAGTCACAGCAAGTAAGCGCACTATCCCGGCCCCATCAGACCTTTCCGAGCTGGTCGAACTGTCGTCGACTCTATGCGCAAGGGAACTCGTTTCATCAAATCGCAGGGCACTCGTCACAGGCTCCGATGGCTCATCCCTCCGGGAGGACGCTACGGCCTGCGTCAGACAAGAAGGCTCAAGCTGGAGAGGGGGCGCTGCTTGCTTATAGATTCCACTAGCTTTGGCTGCCGTACAAGTGAACTCTCTCTGGGTGGAGCTGCATCTGGTACTTATGGCCTTATGGCACTCTAGGCTCTTCTTCAAGGCTTCGTCTTAGCTACGGTCTTAGACAAAGAAGCACGCGAAATTCCAATATTACCCATATACTGAGCCTTAATCAGATAGTTGTAAGAGTGCGAAGCCCAAGAGGGCTGTTGGATTGCTTGGTTGAACGTGGACGGCTACAGCTAGCGTCGGAGCATCACAACAGAAGCAGCACGCCCACCCTCATAAGACGAGTGTACGAAAGAGACTGATATGACGAGTGCATCTCGTGAGTGCCGCTACTTGACATTCGCCCTCTTCGGAAATCGAGCAAAGCCTCCTATGACGAAGCTACCCTGCGATCATAAGTCGGAACATGATGCGCTCAAGTCGCTCAAGGTATCTAGGACATAGGAGTTGAGGTTGCGCGGCCTGCGAGGCCCTGGCCCTCTTGGCGTCTACATCGCCGGATGCTGCGGGAGCCAAACCCGCTGCATGGGCACGGATTCAAAGCCAAGTATTCCAGAACAAAAGCTCTGAAAACTCCTCCTGGGCTCCACAATCCATGGGGCTGATACAGGGCCAATCTGCTAGTCAGACTGATGGGATTCGATGTGTGAGGAAGCCGAGGCCGCCACTTGTATCTAAGCTTGTTCAGGCCTGTGGCTCATAATGAATGGCGAGACGCGAGCAAAGTGAAAGAACATCCCCAGACTAGTGACTAGGTACCAAGCAGTCTGGTTTTTCCCCGGTGCGACATGCACATCCGGCAGGAGCATCGGGCGCGAGGCGCGAAGACCTTCCCTCGCGGCGCCCTGGCGACTCTGTGATATACGTTTCTGTCTCAGAGCCGGGATCCTTCCTTGGGACACCTTATCCTGTCTCCTACGAGTATTGCTGAGTCTGGAGTCTGGGGCCCCTGATGTTGAGACATGTCCGTCTCTCCGTCTCTTGTGGTCTGTTTGGAGACGAGAGGGCCGAGAGTGCCGCACTAATGTGCTGGCGAAACGAGCGACGGGCCGTGCGACTCCGCGAAGCCAAAGCCTCGCAAAGACGCTTACGCCCGGTGCTGATGATGTCGCTCGTGCATGTGGCATGAACTTGGAAGCAGTTTCCGCTCGCGTTTAGACCTATGCCCTGCTCATTCGATGACTTGCGCCACAGTCGAAAAGTCATGCACGAGGTTGACCATCTGCACCCCAGCAGCCGGCGGTTTAGACGTTCATACACACCGGAATGCCGGAAAAGCAAACATTGAAGGCTCTTGCCTGTGCAGATGTGCCAAATGCCGAGTAGGAACTCTGGAGGCCGACGCCACGTAGAAGGGAACTGACAAAGCCCTTTGGGCTAAGGAACGGCCGCAGATTGCAAACGCGCAACTCCGACCATCTCGGAGAAGCGTCGGTTGTTGCATGTAGATATAGTCATCTGAAGCCCTACCCCCTTCCGGGCTGAACAGGACATCTCATGGCGAGTAATCTTCCCTATGCAGGTCTGCGGTGAGTGTGGGGGCCTCCTCATGCCTGCGCCACTAGATGTGGCTCTGTTGATCGCCCGAGCTTGTTGACTCGGTCTGGCATTGGTCACTTCTGATCATTAAAGAAATTAGACAGACTACGTACGGTTCGAAGAATCAGCCTGCAAGGTCTCAGGTCTGACGGCAATACTTTGAGTCGAGGTCCTTGCGGAGCTTGTCGAGACCTGCCTGCACCGCCCAGTAGAAGCTGCTAGTGGTGTCCTGCCACGGCAGCTTCTTGGGCTGTATTTTGGGGGCTTTTGTCCAAGCAGCTCACGGCGAACGAAATTCGGTGGATCCGGACACAGCCCTCTCCGCAAAACACCAGGTGGCTAAATTGTTTTATGTCCCTTCCAGCGAATCAAGCTCCAGAGCTACTCAACACCTGTGCGAAAGTGACACTGCGGCATTGCCGATAAAGCCCTTATGCAGCCTTACGTGTGAGCCCCATATTTGAGGCCGGGCCCTCGGAGTCCTGGTACGTCGCAAGGCTTGCCAGTGCGCCGAATTTCAGCTTCGCCAAGTGGCGATCCAGTTTCCTGTCCGGCGAACTTTTTCAAAATAACATGAGTCCTCCATGATTGGCTTCGTCACTCCTCGTCTTCCGTAGTATAAAGCCCGCGAAAACGAACTCTTTGTCTGGAACTCGGCCCCACCTGGCCTGTGGCGAGCCTTGCCGCTTTCCATAGCGCAGCCTTGGCGCCTGGCCTGAGATCTCCGGAGTCTGGTGCTTCGAAGTATATGTCGACACTCATGGCATGGGTGTGTACACACACACAAAAAAACACATATGAAACATATATATTTATATATACATGAATGTATATATACATATATATATATATATATGTATGTATACATATGGGTATCTGTTATGCATATTTAGCTGTCATACACATACCCTGTTTCTACAGTTTTTTCTCTCGCACTGCGGAGAACTATGCTCACAGGTGAGGTCGGACAGCGAATCCTCGAGGCAATACAGAACGGAATACACACGCGATCATACTTAAAAGGGCTGAGGCGGGGTTCAGCCGGTTCGATGTGTGTGCTCCCCACTCAGCCGCATGAACACCGCACACCGTGCACTAGCTTATGAAGTGGGTACCCGGGAGCACCTTGTGGGGGTTTTCAGTAGTGGTGGTTGCATCTTGATCTCATCTCGAGTCTTCAAAACATGCATGCAGCAAAATGCCGATTTCAGTTAGACTCCCTGCAGCAATCTCTGGCTCACAAGCTCAGTACGAGTACTGAAAGACTCCCATTGTTGAGGCAGTGAAGTTCGAAAGTCGCAGCCACATTGACAGTCTGTAGGACTCCCCCCCCCCATCTGCAGCTGCAAAGTTCTATCTAGCACCACGCGAAAATTTTCTCAGAAAGGCTGCACCACATCGGAGTGTCCATGTAAACAAAGCGAATCACTGACAGAGATCACTGACAAAGTTGACCATCTCTTTCTCTTTCTGTGCTGACATGTAATCCCAGCCCAGTGTATAAGTAATATTTCCTCCCACCAGTTTGCTTTGCTTAGAACAATTGCTTTGGGGAGTTTCTGACACTTAGAATCGAACTGCGATCTGGTCACTACATAGTGCATGCTTCCAGCTTTTATGTACTGTTTCTGCCCTGGTTGTTGCCTGCACTATGTCACTGTCATGCGCTGTCTCTTGTAATGAATGCTCGGGCACGTCATGATCGCAGGACAGTCTGGCATGATTTGGTTTTCTCCGTTATGCGACTCGGTCCTCTTAGGGCCCTTCAGCACAAAGGTCCAAACCGCCCTCTTGCGGTGCCCGGTTTCCCTGCACGCCTCTTCCTCGAAGGCCTGGAGCACGGCATCTGCCTGGTCGTTCCGATGCTGTCGGGTCCACTCTGCGAAGTCGGGCACGAGATGAAGAGGGCTTGGAGCGACTGAAGTGATGGCTGTGATTGTGATGACTGTTGCGAATGCAACATCTCTAGACTGATCGCATCAGGTAATCCCGCCCGCATGGCTGGAGAAGCCTCAGGAAGAAATTGGCGATCCACGGCACGTTGTCGCAGATGCCGGACCAGGATGCAAAGCCTTTGTCACGAGCAGAGAAGCCCGGTCATTGAATTTCACAAGATGGCGGCACAGTGGTTTCAAAAGCCTGAAGTATGCATTTAGGGCATCAGGTAGGCTATGCGATGTGTCTGATCATGAAAGGCCTATGTGGGTGCGATGTGTTTGCATAGATTTAGAGAGGACAGAGACAGAGAAACAGCGAGAGATCGGATGTTTGACGGCAAGCAGCTGCTCTGATCGGTGAAGGTCCAGGAACTGGCATCGGAGATGCCTGGGCTTCAGGTTCTCCAAACCAGAAACCGACCCCGGGCTCGTCAAGAACAACGCAATCGGAGCCCCGAGTCATACTCCGCGTTCTGCAGTAATGTTGGCTCCCGCATTGTGTAGCAAGAGGGTTCTCATTGCTGCTGTGGTATACAGTACCTTGCTGCAGATTCTACAAATCACAATAACACCCGTTCTCGAACTTGACGATGCCTGCGGTTACCATACATATCAAGGGCAGTCAGTGTGGCGGCGAAGAGGAAGAGACCCAGAAGGCTTTCGGGGCTGGCCCAAAATTATGGGTGAACTTTCCCTGACTCACGGAATCTCGGCGTGGGCGCCGATCCTTGGATCCCCAACCCATGCTAGTCGAATCCTGGCCGCCGGTCCAGCTTCGGCGGCCTCGTCTCGTGTGGGTGGTGGCAGTACTCGCAATCTTCACCTTTGGGGCAGTGGCCCATCCTGGGTTCAACACTCGGATGCAGAGTTGTAGCCAGGCCGGGGATGATGGGCTGTAGTCGACAGGTTTGACAACTCCAGGGCTCACCGGATGATCTTCGAACAGTTGTAAACGCACCTGCTCTGGTGAGAAGTGTCGGGAGGACACATGCTAGAGTATCCGTCCAGATGTACATAGCATATCTTGCTTTCTGCCCCCGACGTCATCCGCCCAAGTTGATCATAACCTTGGCACTGAAAAATCATACATGACAAGTTTCTGCATCAGGACACAGGGGCGGCGGCACACCTGAAGACAACTGGCATCACCGGAAAATCGTGTCGCAAGCAGGGCTTGCAAGGCAGTTTGGGTGCTTTGTCTCTCTTGCATGTACAGTGTGCGACAGATGGTATGGAAAAATCAAACAACCCACTCGCCTCCGGGTGGCCCAGTCCCCCGCGGCTTGGTCGCGGCGGCGCGGCGCGAAGTCGGGGGGAGGCTCTCACCTCTTCAGGGCTCGGCTTCGGAATTCATTGGCAGGCTCTGAGGCCTATCATCTGCCTATGTAGATGTTTTTTGGTGCTGCAATACTTGCCACAGGGCTAGGAAGTCATCGAAGGAAGGCGTCACTTTTGCGAGCCTGCAATCTATGAACGAACTTTCTATGAATGAACTCTATTCTTCTTCCCCCAGGCATAAGGGACTGGTGAACTCTCTCTCTCTCTCTCTTTCCTTCTTTCCACAGGGTTGTGGTGCAGNNGTGCGCCCCCGCCATTTGCGGGTGCCAGCGGTGAGATATGCAAACGTGGGAAAATGCAATCAACTGGATCGAGGGGGTTTGCCCCCCGGTTCCATCAAAATGTCCGTCCAGCATGCACGGGGGCTCAGCCCCGTTAGGAAATGCAACCACAGTCAAATGTGGGGCAACAGCCCCTTTGGAGCGTAAGGAGAAAGCTTCTGGGAGCCCGTGCGGGGCAGTGGATCGAATTGGGGTTGGCACAGCGGCCCGTCATAGAATACAGTTGAGCGTAGGCTCAGCGGTCTACAGTGACCAAAATGTGGAGATGCAGGGGTTAAAAACCCCCTATCTAGCATGGATCAACTGGAAAGAAGCCCTTGTTCCTATGTTACAAGGGAAAAAGGGTCCCCTAGGGCAGGAAAGCAAGGATCCCGCAACAGAGTGGACCAAACGGGAGAAAAGGGCTGGACGAATTAACAAAAGGGAAAAAAAAGCCCGGTCCTAGGGTTTCCCCTTCACTCAGCGCCGCGGTCTTTTTACTGGCCTTTGCATAGTCTCAAGCTCGGCGCTGCTGGTCCTGGGGCCATTCCCCAACTCGACGCTTGCATCGTCGATGAGCTCTGTACTTCTGCTTCGACTCGTCACGGTACCGTTTCCACACCATGAGGTCCGTCTCGGCATCATGAAGTCGACTTAGCCTTCCATTTGCGAAGAGCTGCTGGAGCCTCTGCGTCTGTCGTGGCGTGAGGCCGGAAGGGGCTCCCGAGGGTTCAGCGGGCCGCATAGAGGCGAGGTCGCCCCCGGCTTGTTCATCATCGGCTTGTTCATTGCCTTCCCACTCGTAGTCCTCCTCGTCTTGGTAGTCGAGACCGGAGTCGAGGTTCTCCCCGGGCTCATCCTTGGGTTGGGCAGCAGTCTCCTCGTCCTGGTAGTCGAGAAAGGAGTCGAGGCTCTCCCCGGCTCGTCTTTGGGTTGGGCAGCAGTCACGGCGGGCGCCATCCGGGGTTCCCCCGCTGTTTGGTCTACTTCCTCGGTTTCACTTTTGGCTTGTTCAGCGTTCTCGGGCTCGTGCTCGACATAGTCTTTGTGCCAGGGCGGCTCATGCAGGCGGAAGCTTTCCCCGGCGGCAAAGTTCGCATCGTCGAAGACATCCTCGCCGGGGTGCAGCCCCGAGTTCTCCTGGTCGAGCTCGTTGTTGTCATAGAACTGGGTCGTCACGTGGGAGTAGTCGACGACTGGAGGAGCTACCTCCGAAGCATCGGTTTTTGCATGTAGTGAGGCGCGCTTGGCCAAAGCAGCCTTGGTCTCTGCCGGCAGCTCATCGTAGGGCACAGCCCGGGCTGCCCCGGCCACGATTGGGGAGGTTCCCCTGAAGAAGTTCGAAGGCGTAGTCGAGGTAGGAGAGGGAAAAGTACCTTTCACTCCCTCAGTTTTCCTTGCAGCTCCATCACGGCCGTCTAGGAAGGCATCCTCCTGTGTTGCGAGGCTTTGTCCAAGTCGTTCGGGTCGTACTGGTAGATCGGGTAGTACATGTTCTCCCGGTTGAG